CAGTTTTTGCACTTCTCGTTGTATCTTCTGCTTTAGGAACATTCGTTAACAGATCCAACAAGCAAATTAAGAGAAAAATGGTTGAAAGCATTTCCAATACTAGGTTGATGAACTTCAGGTTTTCCGATGCCACCCGTAGTTAGTTGGGATACAGAAGGAAAGAGAGATGGTCTATAGAATAGGTGATCAAAGGTGATAAACTCATCTTCACAATAAACCAGTTTTATTTACTGGAAGGGGAATCATGAATGGAAACTACGAAAACTCGGGCTACAACTCAAAAGCAATTCAGAAACAACAAATCAAAATGTATTACCGAACCCAGAAGTTCAGTTGAGAGCCAATAGAATGTGGAGACCCATAGTGTGACACAACAGAAATCGGTAAGCGATCAACCAGAATATGAACAAAAGGTCTTCAGACGGAAACTATTTTAAACAGCGACCTAATTCAGAGGATGCAGACCACAACGCAGCACAGTTCGAAATCGACCATTTGGACCCCGAGAGGTGTATGCTTCTTTCAGCCTCCCAGGGCCACTTAATTTCAGACAGGTATGGAGGAACTTCCGACGCAAATATTCACAGTTGATGTCACTTTGGTTTGTCTTGAAACATCATCAAGGACAAACAACAGATGAACACCATGTTGATGAACAACTAGCAAACGGAACATTTCCAGATCAGTTTTAGATAAAAACATATGTCTACTGGGATATCCGTGTTCAAAATCTACGATGGCCTCACATTGGTTATAATATTTTTCCTCAGTACTGTATACATTGCGTAGATATTTCATTAAACAGATGTAATCTTGCTAACAAGAGCGTCTTTTCAAAAGATGTGTGTGCCGTTTCAAAGGCGAGATAATAAAACTAGCTAAATTGGGAAACTGCCTCCAACCCCCTTCATGCGTCCCAAACCATACGACCTTCTACATACTGTGATAGAAGAATTCACCAACAGACGTCCAAAGAATCGATTTTTTATTCCCGAATTCACGTGGCCATCCAAAAAGTAGACAAGTGTAATTTAATTTAGCTAATGATTATATCCAGCAGCGTGTACAATACAATATTCCGAACTACGTATTCGCTATGCTCCCATTGCCACGGGTTTTTTGTTGGGCTATCCTATGCACGACAGCGCTACCCAATAAGCTCCTCCTCAACACCACCTTAAACTCTGCCCACTAACAGCGGTCCTGATGACAACGTGTTCATCTTCTTCTCCGGCCATGGTGGGAGTTCCCATATTGCCTTCCTAGGAGAATATGTAAGTTCAGTTAATTTGGTAACCACGGTTTTAACACGCAGTTTTTTAATCGGAGGCTAAATAGTGAACGGATTTAAAAGGCTTACGTAAACGTATGTTGGCGCACTGACTTCGGTAATCCTTCATAAAGGAGAGTTTATAGTCAAGCTATTCCACACATCAATCGAAAAATGGAACACATGCTACGATGTACGTACATAAATCTCACGAGTGACATCTCGATGAATTCAAGTTGTTAGGTAACGTCAAGGTGCTTTAAATGACACCGTCACATAGATTTTGTTTTAAGAATTTCAAGTTCCTTCGACTCACATGATTTTGCGGTCGATCCATTCAGACTGCTGAGCCAACGTAGATAACATAAACAAAGAACCTGGTCGTATACGGTCACTAGTGAGGCGTGGATGATGCAAAGAACGCGTCAGCCGAATTCTTCCTGACAAGACAACATACTGCTTTTCGCTTCTAGATGGACGGCACGAATCTTTAGTAGTATGAAGTTTTTGTATTTCTGTATGAGAAACCAGTCTGTAATGGAAAGCCGAGAAGCAATGTACAACTGTTCCAATCTTATTTATAATCAACAGTGGCGCGCTTGAGAGATGCAACGTGTAGCCGTTCGGCCACAAGCGACCAACCAACAGCCTGATTTATTCGCACTAAGTCAGGATATCATGTGGTTTTTTTCAACCAAGGAACCCAAATCACTGGTGGCTGTTTCATTGATTGACTCACCTTGATCTTACGAGAATTTTCCTTCTTGTCTTGGGACAGCTGTATGCCATGGAGTTGAATGATACCCTCGCCTACATGCATTCAAAAAAAACGTTCAACAAATTGGTTCTGTACGTGGAGGCTTGCAAATCAGGCTCTATGTTTAAAGACGTTCTTCCTTCAAATATCGGAAGTAAGTAGCGTAAATTTTCCGACTCTCGCATGGATCTTGTGAAATAGAATTCAAAATGTCAATCATATATATGGTTTAAACCGGCGTTGACCATTTACATAGAACGAACTTCGAAGCTTGGTTTATGCTTGCTCACTTCGCGATCTTTCTATGGAAAGAGCCCATGACTCTAACCGCAAGAAGCTTTTAGGCGATGATAGCACAAAATCCAGCCTTCATCGATTAATGTCGCTTCCGCTGCTTAACCAGTTTCATATGGGTGGAGGAAGTCAGTGTGCAACCGGTACAACCCCGTGATATTTTGGTGTCCCTTTGCATCAACCACCAATGCCAAGTGGATAACTTCATGGTAAATTTTAAATGGATCGTGGATCTTTTGTGAAAAGTTAAATTCAACCCACGAAAAACAGGTTTAATGCTTGTTGCGTGTCTACCTATGATCGTTCATTTCAGTGGTCTTTTTCCAGGGTTTTTTTTACTGTAATAGGACGGATTATGCATTCACGCACTTATTTCATTTTGATGGGCTGGCACAGGCAAACCAAGATAAATGTCTCGTTCATGAGAGTGTTTGGCAAGTTCCACCTAGTCTGGGTTCAAGTCTTGATTAAATTTTAGGGAATGTCAAGGACTGCGCCTGCCGAATTCGCCGGACGAAGTACGAAAACCATTCTGTCCTGTCAATGAAATGTCATTCTGAATAGTGTGTTAGTGCTAGACGTCTTGCAGCTTCATTATTTCTGTGAGTCACTCCATCCGTTCGTCGATAATTTACCTCGATATATCACACACCTTTATTATTGACCCACACTATCGGTTCTCTTGTTTGAACCCCTAAACTTGCAGTCTACGCGACAACTTCAGCCAAGGAAGATGAAGATTCCTGCGCTATTTTTTGTTTTGACAAGGAAATCAATGTTTGTCTAGCAGACGAGTACTCATTTATCTGGCTTCTAGATTCGCAATACGTAAGTGTTAACAGAAATGTTACAGATAATCCTGTCAGTTGTGCATGGGTAGACCGGTAATATTCAGCAGCCAGTGGGTAATCCATTGATTCTCAATACCCTTCAGTTTTTGTTTTCCAGCATGAAGAGTATTTACGGCATTTAAGCCACCACAGCAGTCCGGTGGCCCTAAAATAATCAGACAATTGGTTGCATGTCCGAATTTTTCACTATCCTCTCAATCAGATTCGCCTCTGATCTTGCAGAGGGCTATGAAAGAGACTGACAATATCTGGGTGCTATCGGTGTAATTCGCCCTCTACGATGGAAACCGCATGATTTCGACCGTGATTGGTTTAAGGAGCTGCAAATCATGTATTTTAATCGATGTTATTTTAGATCTCGTTACCCTTTTTGAGATAGATCGCCTGAGTAATCGTCTGGAGTTGCAAACGCGTCGGAATGATTGTGGTAGGCCACCACCAAGTCCTTTCCCCACTCGTTTTGATTCCCTCCTTTTGAAAAAGGCTTCAAATGGGTTTTGAAACCATGCAGGAAAGCGGCAATGTTGACTACGGATGTTGACAATGATGACGTTGATGCTGACGATGATGATGCTAAGGATGACAACGATGATGTTGATGCTGGTGGCTCTCCTGAACGCCTTCGTCTCAATACATCTATCTAAATGAACCAATATGTCAGTGGCGTTCATGGTGTCAGTTTCTATCCATATTGTCTGACTGGGTATCGAATGTGTGGGGAATCTCGATTGTATGCTGTAGGCTAGCCCTATCGTTTCCTTCCTGTTACATTGACTTTTCTTTCTTCATTATCCTAAATTTTTAACCTGCATATATTCTATAATGCTAGTACGGTAGTAAATCATCAGTGTTTACCTAAGGTGCTGCTCCTGATGTTGATGATGATGACGATGATGATGATTCGAACGGTGATGTTGGTGATGATTCGGATGATGATGATAATTATTGGGATGGTGATGATGATTGGGATGATTATCATGATGACGATGATGATGACGATGATGATGATGACGATGATGATGATAATGATGATGGGGATGATGGTGAGCATCAAAACCTTAAGATATTTTGAATGGGCATATATGGCTTCTAGGATCAGCAGAGCGCTCACTAGTTTACCAGTAGTATGTGTTGTTTCATACCTCGGTCGTCTTAACTCTATTTTGGTTTCACGATTTTACCCAAAGTGGATCCCCTAAAGTTGCGTAATTTGATACGTCTGCTTCACATAGCTTCCCTTTGTCATTATCTCTTATTCGCTCGCAGAATGACATAAAAAAGCGTACACTGAAGGAACAATACGAGGAGGTGAAAAGGAAGACAGTGTTAAGTCATGTGATGAAATACGGTGAAAAGGTGAGTCATAAAGCTCCACGGAGTGACTCAGTTGGGTCACTTGTTAAAAGTCAAACTGTTGTGAAAGTGAGTGTATTTATCGTCAAGCCAGTTGTATTTCGTTGCCCGTGGAAGGTGACGGTCACGGGCGAAAATACTTGATTAAGAACTTCAGGTTTCATAGACGAAGTTCAGCGAGGTTGCTAGTCCAGACATCTAGATATCCAAGCCTAGCTATTGTCACCTCTCGGAAAACCAAGCAATGGCTTTGGGTACCTTACCTTTCATACACTTGTGAGCTGGCTTACAAAAGGAAGTCGAAAGTATGTGAATTATTTACAAGTAGCTCAGATGAAGAACAGTTTTACACTCGAAGAGCCAGTCAATAGGTGGCCAGGTGATATGATTTTCCGAGATTAAACAATGAGCGACGCTGTGTGTTGTCTAAGTGGAAGCCAATCACACTGCTGATCAGTTACTAGTGACCGGCCGGATGGTTGCCGTTTAGTAATTGAGTGCAATAGGCCTGAACGAGCAAACTTAGGTGATAGTACTAGGGATTAGGCGGACATGAATGAAGGATGACACAACTGTTTGCGGGAAGGTTTCGGAACTGATGTTCATTGATCAAAGGGATCTTTCAACACTAACATGTGAGCACTAAAGTGTGAAAATACGGTCCCATGGTGTACCGCTTCATCATTTTAAGGAACGAGACGCTAACTTGGTTGATAGTGAACTGACAGGTGTCTGTTTATTGTGTATTTCAGACGATGGGCAGTCTCCCAGTTGGAAAATTCCAAGGTCATTACGATCTACAGATGCACCGGAATGACGGGGCAATAGCAGTATGTGTTGAGCGCAATATTCGATATTTTGAAATGTCTACTAAAACAGTCATTTCTTGGATGGTTAAATAGATAGTTAGACAGATAGAGAGATAGATGGACAGACGGACAGACAGACGGATAGATAGATAGATAGATAGATAGATAAATAGGTAGATAGATGGATAAATTGATAGGTAAACAGACAATCAGGCACACTTACTGACGAACTGACTGACAGCAGGCATAGACATACAGACAAAAAGATAGTTAGCCAAGCATTTAGATGAATAGCGGTCAGTCTGCATAAACACAGATGAGCGAGCGAATCGTAGATCAAACACATTTAGCGTCTGATGATTGCCTGTAGCATGGTCAGTGATAATCGGGCTGATGGTAAAAACCTATCAGTCCAACAGACAAGCGTTTAACCGGTTGAAATTATTCGTGGATTTCGTGTTACATTCTCCGAAGCAACCGAGGTATTTACCACTGATCATGAACAGAGTACAAAAATTGCCCCCTGTTGAACTCAGGTTGCTGGCTAATTCTGCAAGGGATCGTTATTTCATCAACGAGTTTGATTGGATGTGTTCACGGCATAAAATTACACCTGAGAATTAACGCCCCGTATCGTATATGCAGCAAAATCCATGAAACGTTTAGTGATGTTCCACGTACTCCAAACTGACGAACAGAACGAATTTCGTCAGTAATTTCCGTTACTCTGGCAAACGAGTGATTTTGTGTAGCTTCTTCTTAATAGCGAGTAGTCTATGAACAATCCTTCCAACCATCATTGACATAGCTCCTGGTAACATTGAGTGTTGCTCAATTGTTCTCTTGGTTCCAGCCGAATGCTGTAGATAGAAAGCCCTCTTGCCAGGCGCATTTGTTTTCAAAGTCTCGACGCTTGACGGAAGAATATGAAACCGCTTTGCGAAAGTTGCACCGTGCACTTCAGGTTTGTATTTTCATTTATCTTATCCAGTGAGGACATTTTCTCCAGACAGCTCGAGATAGCTCAGTGGTTAGTGCACGAACATACTGGTCGGAGGGTTCACGGTTCCAGCCCAACCCTGGCATTCGCCTGCTCCTGTCTAGAATTGGGCACTGTCTCATACCGGCCGTGACTTGACGTGCGAGAAATATTTTTGGCGTGCCTATAATTTTCCACATCTATTACTCTCGCTTCTGTCAGCTTGGCCACATCATCAAGGAAACCATTCGCGACATCCTCATGGATGTGACAACTCACCATAAGCCAGTGGTAAAGGCTTTGTCCAAGAGGGATGAGAACTTTTGCTTCCAGGCAGTGTTCAATCAATTCCGGACGCGCTGCTTCACAATTCAGCAGGCAAGTTGACCTGGTGNTTCGTTACTAGACAATGCATTCACCCACGGTGTCAAGTAAGGCAAGCCTCAGTCTCAAAATTACTCTTAGTTAAACGTCTAGCAAATGAAGTTTCGGGGCAGATGTGGTACTCACACCACTAGCACCTTCGTTCTTTTCCTGATATTGATCGATCATTCCGCAATCGGTCCATGTGTTCAAAGCTCCTAAGGAATATTGTGAAACAAGATCTGGTCAGCATACCTGCCTGAAGTCGTTAGTTTTATTTGACAAAACGCACCATTTCGAGGAAAATTCACCGAACAAATGGACGGTGAACCTACAGAAGGCTGGAAGAATTTGCGCGGCAAAACTCTAGAAAGACGAGCACAAGAAGATACCCATGACTAATACACGCGGGTCAGTTTATATGAATATCTCCGATTTACTTTGAGTGTGTATCGTGGATTCAATGTTTTAGTAACTTCTGGTGATTCTCTATACGGTGGTATAGATGCCGCTTTTTAATCAACGAGACCAGCCCTTTTTAAAACCTCGTTTGATTCTACCTGCAAGTAGTTTGCTCGAAGTGCGACAGATGTTCATCTGTTGCGCCTTGGGACGTCCTGGGGTTCGCCCCTCTGGGCTACCGCTATTCAGCCCTTTACACTTTCTTCTGCAATACTGTCGATATTAAGAATTAATCAGAATTGGAATTGAACCCAGATACTTCCCTGTACGATGATTAACTCATATAACTTTGGTGGTTTATCAACAAACCATGTTGCCTGACTTTTTTTAAATTCCTAAAAACGTCTCGATCGGTTTCTCCACATTTTCTACATTCACGGTCGGCAGCTGTTGTAAACAGAATCCTATCTTATCACGGACGTTCGTCACCATTTCAAATACTTCATTAACGTCACAGCAGGATCAGTAACACAAATAGGAATACTGAAGGGACTGATGGAATAGCTGGACAGCCAGTTTCGCTTCTCTTGGGGTTCACCAGTTAGGCGCACTTCCTGAGATCCCATCAGCCTTGTGTCCTAGATGATCTTTTAGTTGAAGCGAAGGGGCACTGGTGGTTTACGTGTGTCTCCTGTCGAAACGAAATTTGTATGCAAGCTGGAGTATTTGTCAAAATCTGCCCCATTCGAAATGTGTCTACTTGATGAGCACCGAAACGTAGTGTTCTAACATTTTTATCCATCTGCTAGGTAGCTGAAAATTTCGCGTGTTCTCCGCCAGCAATGAAGCAGCTCACGTCAAGACGCTTCGCTTGGTCGACAATTCAGATATGCGGATAATCGCCAACACCTCACATAAGTAACTTTCTTCAAATCCCGGGCCCAGTATCCGCTCCATCTTTAGTGTGCCTCACTGACAATCTTCCCCACTCTTTAGCATCATAGTTGGCACATTTCTTATGAATGATGATCTCTGGTGATATACGTTAGCGTGAACCTCGCGTGAACACACGTTCCTGTTTCATTGGAAGCAGTGTCAG